TCAAGGGACTAGAGTTTAATGGAACGTGTGAAATAGAAGCAGAGACCGAGAGCTTTCATGATTCCATCAGCTCTAGTTCCTGGAAGGAAAACCTCAATCAAAGCAACAGCTTTCCTCTGGGGATGGCAGCTGCCCTCACTGGCCCTCTGCGGCAGGAGCCCGGCCTGGGGGGTGTTTGTTAGGGGAACAGAGTGGGCTCCCATGGAAATGTGAGTGCTGCCTTTAGTCATTTGGTTTGGAGACAGGCTGAGCAAATCCACCTGCTGCTCCCAGGTCCCTTGTGTTTGTTCAGGCCTGAAAAGGTCAGACCCAGGTGTTTGCAAAAATGACAGGTCTTGACCTATGGAACAGAGAAACCAGGTCTGCAGCCCCTGGAATGTTTTGCTCTCACCACGTCAGTCACGCAGCCTTCCTGGCTTGGGGGTAAGGGCAGACAGCCACATCAGAATCTCCTTGCTCTGGGGAGGTGCTTCCCAGGTGGCAGCTGCCTGGCTCTCTCAGTCCTGGCCTGGGTCTGTCACACTGTCACACATGTCACTGTTTGCGGGCTTCCTCTTGCCTGAGTGCTGGTGTGTTGGGGGAAATGTTTAAACATCTACCCATCAGCCTCTGGTCTCTGCGTGAGCCCCAACCTTGGAATGCCCTGCGGGCAGCTCCAAGGCCATGTTCCAGCTGAGTCCCAGAGAAGAGAAGTTGGCGGCTCCGTGTGTGGCTTGGGGAGGTGCCTCTCTCTCTCCAGGGCAGTAATTTGAAACATCAGAGTTTTCAGGGTTTCTGGATGAAACATTCAAAAGTGCAGAAGGGGACAGATAAGCAGGAGCCTCCCCGGTGAGGAGTGGCTTCTGGCAGGAATGAAGGCCAGCAGTACCAGCCAGCATTAAAATCAGGAAACTGTCCAGAGCCCTGAGCAGGGGGCCCCTGCTGCTGCTCCGGCTGTAGGCCCTGGAGCGTGGCTGCCCCAGCCCTGCTCACCCAGCTAGCTGATCTGCTGTTCCAGCTCGAAAGGACTCCCAAGTAGTGACTGTCCAGAATTTCCTGTTGCATGCGGCTCTTAGGAAGAATGGTCCCACCTCCCTACTTTGAACTTGTAGAAGTATCTGAGTGAAGCGCCTAGTGCCTCTACTCCAACCCTACGCTAAATAGCTCATGCTGCTCCTCCAGCCTCTCAGGGCAGGAAACTGAGGCCAGAGAGAAAGGGACTCACCCCAGGGCTCAGAGCTCACGTCAGTGACCAGACACGGTTTTCCTGTCTCCTGGTTGAGGATTTTCCTCACCGTGTGGCACTGTCTTTCTCACTGGAGAAAGACATCCACTTTACTATCTACTTCTTTTTATCTTTTACAAATTCATATTGCTGTTGAAACTACACTAAGGGGAGTTCTAGGGTCAGGCAGATCCAGATTCAGCTTCCAGCTCCACCACTTTCCCACTGCAGTCGAGTAAATAACCCTGGGCAAGTAACACCCATAGCAGGATTCCTCCTCTGAGATGGCACCTACTTGGTAAGATCTTGTAAGAGTCACTGAGATTAACATATGGAGGGTTCAGCACAGGCCCAGCAGGTAAGAAACAATCAAGTTCAGCTATTTTTGTTACCGTGATTAGTAGTAGTAGTATCTTAATGAATGTATAAGGCAGTTACAATTAACATTTAAATTGGTGTCTTGTGAAAACCCATTACCTGTATTTGGATGAACTTGGATGAATTAGGCAAGGTTCTTTTTTCACCTAAGCCATTTAAATTTTCACTTTGAAATTTTGTTTTTGTCTTAATTGACCTTTAATTAGTTTAACAAGTTTGCAGGCAAACTCACACTAGATTTCCACCAACTCCTTCATGTATCCGCCCCTTCCTAAAACATGTATTGAGCAACTATCATGTCAGCTCAGGGTGCTCAACAGATGCTTTTGGACGAATGAGTGGACAGATGGACAGATGGATATATGGATGGATGGTTGCTGGTAAGAGAGAGACTCAAGTAACTACCCTTGGTTCAGACTGGTTCATAGTCCAGATTCATGAAGCCATAAGGAGAAATAGTGAAGAGCCCCAAGGTCTCAGTGGGGACAAAGAACAGGTATAGTGGAAGTGAGGGGGCCAGGAGGAGAGGCTGAGGTCAGAGACTGAAGTGGACAGTGTGACGCTCTGGAGTAGGAGTGGTTCCCACAAGGAAAAGTCCAGGGAGCAGCCAGGCGGGTGGGTGTCCCAGTAGATGGGGGTCTGGAGGTCCTTAAGTCCAGTAAAATCTAGGGACTCTGAATCCAGGTTATTGGATGGGTGACTCACATAGCCTTTTATACAATTCCAAGTTAGGATTAAAGTGGCCTGAATTAATGAGCTCTTACTCTGTGGCTCCTCCAAATTCCCTGGGGAGGTTCTTTCATATAAAACTGAATTTAATATGAAACATTTATAAGAGTGTATATCAATAATACCTTAATAAAAAAACTGAATTTAATATGAAAGAGTAATAGTGCACTGACAAAGATATTTATTTATAATTCCTGCCTTATTTTTTTACCTCAGAGTGGTGTTGCTTAAAGGTCAAATGCGTGTGTATATGTGTATGAGAAAGGGAGACAGACACGGGAGAAGTGCACCACATTGTTTTTGTTGTCTGACCTTTCCGGCATTTTAGCTCCAGGCCAGCTGTGGAGCAACACAGGGAGTCTTGTGAGGACTATATATAACAAAATGTCACCAGCAACCAAAGACGTTCTGTTCCCCCCTACAAACCAAATACTTGAAATTCACATCCTGAAAAAAATTCACAGCACATTTTGGCAAGCATAGCATTATATTTGTGCACGGATACTTTTTGGTATCATTTCCGGCCATTGTACAAGGAGAAAGGGGCTGATGGGGGTGAGCCCCCACCCCTACTACTTGCTCTGTGACTGTGAATAAGAATTGTGGCTGGGATGGCAAGCATGTTCAGCACGTTACAATTTAAAAATCGCCCCCAGCTTTTAATCCTCACAGCAGCCCACTGCAGTTGGCCGGGCTGGTATTATCATGCCCATTGACAGATGGAAAACTGAGGCAGAATAGAAAAGTGAAGTGACAGGTGCGAGACCACTGAGCTGGGTGTGGCAGAGCCAGGTCAGGCCCCCAAGCTTCGGGAGCCAAGCCCAGCACCATAAGCCCTGGACTGTGGCCACACCACCACCTCTCCGTATCTGCCCCTGAACATTAGCCCATCCTCCCATCCTCCCACCAACCGCCCCAGCTCTCGGAGGTTCTGGAAGAACCATGATAGAAGCAAATGCCTGCCCACTCACTGGCATTTCTACTGTATAGGGTAAGCCATGCGCAAAATTATGAGGTTGAAAAAGATGTTTTCTGGGACATTCCAGTGCTGCTCACCCACTCTTAGTCACCTAGTCAAAGAGCCTCATCAGAAAGATGTCCCCCATTGCACAAGAAGCCCACCAAGTATGTGTGTCCCACCAACATTCTCTAGCAAGATCGTCAATTTTCCTTCCCACAGCCGGTCCTAAGCCTCCAGTTCTTAGGACCAAGTTGGAAATGGCAGGCCACTTCTCCTAACTCATGCCCTGTTTCTCCCCAACACTCCTGGCTGATCAATCAAGGCATTTTTTTTTCTCAGTGATCATGAACTCAGATAATGTCAGTTACAACTGGACCCATGAGATGAAACCTACTTTTTATCTGTGTATTAAGTAATTTGTAATAACTCCTACCATGCTTGCTTTCAGAAAGACTCCAGTAAGAGACACAATACAACAAAACTATCACAACCAGGACCAAAAGTGAGACTGTCGTGAGGGGGAAGCTGTGTGCAGAATGGCTAGGCTGGCAGAGCATGCTGCAAATGAGCAGAGAACTTAGATCTCAGCTTCCTTACAATGTTAACAGGAAATTTGGGGTATAAATCCAACCATTATGTTGGAGAAACAAAACTTTTTCCTGACCCTGAAATCTAGGAGGCAGTTTTAGTGTAGATTGTAAATAAGGCCTATCTACCAGCTTATGGGCCTGGTCTTCACCACGAAGGCGCTGTTTCTTGGAGTTCTCCAAACTGTCAGAATCAGAACAGTGTGGGAGCTTGCTTGAAAAGCAGATGCCTGCATAGCGTGTGACCACGGGTAGTAGTTGCTACTGTGTTGTGTACTTGAAGTTTGCCAAGAGAGTAGATCTCAACGTCTGCACCACGCACAATGTTAATGGTGTGAAGTGACTGATGTGTTCATTAGCTTGACTGTGGTAATAATCATTTTGCCATGTATACATATATCACAATACCCGTTGTACATCTTAAATATATACAATTTTTATTTATCAGTTATACCTCAGTAAAGCCGGAGGGAAAGAATGCAGATTCCTGAGCCCAGCCCCAAACTCACTGAGTGAGGATCCTGGGAGATGCGCCTTGTGATTTGCATTCTGAGTCTGCTCACTGAAAGTTAGAGAAACCCCTCCCCAATGTGTTAGCAGATAACAGTGGCTTAATGTAGTGGCCTTCCCCAGCCTTGCTTGCATCTTATCAAGGGTCAGTGTCTCAACCCAGAAGAGTCTCAGGGGAGAACTCCAGGCCTTAGGACTCCCTCCGGGGAGATATTTGGGGGCTACAGAGGCTCTGCAGGCCCCAGTTGGAGGGAAGCTGGGTCTCTGTGTGTACACGGGTGTGCAGTAAGCTTTCTGCTATATGATTTCAGGTGGCCGCAGGCCCCAACTCAGCCCATCCAGCACCCCCGAGGGTCTGCCATCCATAGCCCATGGGAGCCCCGGAACCACATTAAAGACGTGGGCTCAGGTGACCACCAAGCCCAGTGTCCCATCCTCGTCCATAATGCAGCAGGCAGAGCCCAGGAATCTGGGAGACAGCCAGGTGGCAAAAACCCCAGTGAATGAGCCATGGCCCGCTGCCCATCCCCTGGCCTGCATCACTCCACTCCCGGCTCCCACTGGGATCTGCCAGAGCCCAGCCTTGGCCTTGGGGAGGCAAACATGCCTTCTTTCCTCTCGCGCCCAACAGGTTTGGAATAAATTGCCTCATCCAGTTTGAAGATTTTGCCAATGCCAATGCCTTCCGCCTGCTCCACAAATACCGCAACAAGTACTGCATGTTCAACGATGACATCCAAGGTAGGTGTCCACCCCTCGGACAGAGCCACGGAGGGCCGCTGCCCCCACAGCTCACCTGGCGCAGAGCAGGGCCCAGCCTCCCCCGTTTGCTGCCAGCAGCTGCTGGAGAAAGAGCATTTAACTTGGATGCAACCCCCACTTGGCTCATTCTTAGTCCCGTGACCTTACGCAAGTCCTTTAACGTTGCTAAGACTGCTTCCTCATGAATAAAATGGAGATCATTAACTGCTTCAGAGGAAAGAAAGAATTATGTGATTTAATATACAAAAGAAATAGTAACAATGTGGTCATTTTCTAGCTAGTTGAACTTGAGCAGATCACATCTCTGAGCTGCAGTTTCATCATCTCTTTAATGGGGATGAAAGGAGCTGCCTTAGAAGATGGCTGGGAAAATTTAAAGAGCTGATTATATGGAAAGTACTGGCACATGGCACTCATCAGACCAAAGCATCCATCACCATTAAAAAGGCCTTCCCAGACAAAGTAACTGGCTCTTGGGGTTTCCAAACACAAAATGCCGGGGAATCAGGACCCTCCCTTCTTTTAACGTGGCTGGAACGTATGCTACTCAGAATGATAACACTGAAAGACACTGGCCCCAGGGTCCCAGAGTAGTCCACCACCACTGGGAAGCGTCTCCCACTCAGGGCCCACTTGGTTACCCAGTCTGTGGACCTGAACGTTCTGAAGACAGTCGCTTCTTGCCGTGGAGAAGCGAGTATGTGAAACCCGGCTCCCGATGCAGGCGTTCTCAGTAAGCAGCCTTGGGAGCTATTCCTAGTATTTTATAAAGCCCAAGAGAAACCTCGATGACATGTAGGTTATTATTTAACAAATAAAGTATGGCAAGTAAAATCTTTGCAAACCAAGGATGCAGGCCAGATAGAGAGAATAAGTCAGGGACAGGTGTTGGTTGGCCAAGCTCTCATGTTGCAGATGAGGCCCAGAGGGGTCACAACTTGTCATCAGGTGAGTTAGAGATTAACTGAAGAGGGCTTAAACCCAGGTAATAATGGCTGAGGGTTAGGGCTGTATGTTTATTATACACCAGGCACTGTTCTAAGCACCTGTGAGGTATTCCCAACTCTGTCTTATAAGTGAAGAGACTGAGACATGGAGAGAGTAACATATGTAGCCAGCAAGTTGACATTTGGTCCAATTTCCAAATGCATAATTACTCACTATACTGTTCCCAGACCTTACACGCCTACGACAGAACTAAATGCCTCTTCCTTCCTTGTGGTCCACGTTATGGGCTAAGGAGACATGATAGGTGTTTTTCTGTGTGCTGGCCATACATTTTCAAGAAGCAGGAGAGCATAGTTAAACATATTATTAGACAATTCAGATCAAAACATATGACTTCAGTGCCTGCAGAGTTGGCACCCAGAGAAGGGAGACCCGAAGGAAAGCTGACACATGGCAATGCCCCAGCCTGTCCCCATTCTGTCATGGGCCTGGGACAGGCACTGGCTGCTGGCCAGCCTCGCCCAGACAGGTGGGCCTTCTGCTCAGACAGGGCAACATAGTCCAGGAGCACCGGCTGGGGGAGGGAATGTTCACTCGGCCTGCGGCTCACCTCCCTGCCAGCCCATTGGGATACCGTGGGACTGCAGCCCTGGAGGAAACATCTGCCCACTGACCCCTGACCGGCTCCCTCGTCATGACACTCGCCCATGAGTCAGCAGCGGGACAGCCAGACCCCCAAGCCGACGGGCTGCCAAGGCCAGAGAGTGGAAGCGGAAAACAAGTCCATGTGGGTGGCACACCTGGTGCACGGACTCCAGATGTGCAGCCACACACACAGCTATACATCCTCCTAAGCACAGGCACGTGCAACCCGTCTGCCCTCTCACCCGCCACCCCTGGCCCCACGCTGCCGCCAAAACGCACCTCTGCGATGAACTATGGCTCTCAGCCCCTCTTCATGAGGAAGCCCACACTCCCCATGGACGTGTAAGTCTTCAGGGGTCTGCTTACTTGTGCCCTACCCCTACCCCCACGGATCTTGCCCTCTGCCCTCTGCCCCAACCTTACTTTATTTCCGTGACCACCTTCCCCACCAGTTCCCACTGCATGTGGAAGTTCTGCTCCCAGGCTGGGGTCACCTTCCCCATCAGCTTTGCCTGAGTCACCCATCTTCACTCTTCCAGACCCACCTCCAGGGGCTCCTGTCCTGGCAAAGGCCCCCCATCAGCCCCTGTCCCTCCCATTTGACTTGGGTGCCCACCAGGTGTTCCCACAGCCACCTGTGCTCCCCTCTGTTTCCTTAACCCACTGTACCCCAAATGCCTGTCTCCCCAGTAGATGATAAGCTTCCGGAGGCAGGAGCTGTGTCTCCTCCCCCCATTCTCAGCACAGTGCCTGGCATGTTACAGATGCTTCACCAGTATTTGAAGGATGACTGAATGAAATCTGCAACACAAATGGACATGCTCAGAGAACACCCCTTGCTCCTGTGGGCGCATGTACACTGGCCACCTGCCCCTGCAGCCTCTCTTTTGTTCAGGGCCTCATACATATACTTACATAGATGTGCACCACATGTGCTCATACACAGATGTATATACATCTTCACGTGTGTAACTCTCATGTACATGCACATGCATGACATTTTAAGTAACTCAGTTCATTATTGGATTCATTGTTTTTATGTCAGGCTTATAGTCAGCTCCACCAGAGCCTGTTTTGCTCACAGGCAAAGCCAGATGGAATACTTTCCACAGCAGACAGAAGAGGAATTTCTCATTCTTTTCTCAGAAATTAGAGACTAAACTCATTCGTCCTGCATGTATACAGAGAGCTGGCAAATATACCAGTATGTCCGGAGCCCCGTGATACCAAGTCTATGATGGGGACAGCCTGACCCTTAGGTGTGACCACATGATTAACAACAGTAAAGAGATGGGCGCAGAGATGCACTGCCCAGATCTTCCTTCAAGAAAAGCCTTGTTGCTCTGGTGGCCGGCTGGGTGGTCAGCTACATCAGGCCGAGCCTCAGCTGCAGAGAGCCGCCTCTTCCGCCGTCCTGCCCCGCCAGGGGCCCCCCACCCAGTGAGGAGGACGTATGAAGGCCCACCGTCTGGGCCCAGTGCAGGATGCCCCAGAGGGGACATTGAACTCCAGAGCTGCCCCGGCGTAGGCGGAGGCTTTGGGGACTGCTCGGCAGCCATCTTGTCCCTTGGCCCATCCTGCTGCCCTCCCCTCCTGTCCACAGGTACTGATCCCAAGGGCTCGTCTTGATAGCATGCTGACCCTCCGCATGTCTCAGCATGTGCTTTCCAGGGAATCCAGGCTGTGCCAAATAATAACACTTTGCATGCACACCAAACTTTAGGCTGGAGAGTGTTTTCCATCTACACTGTCTTACAGCTTCCTTGAAGCTCCTGGTGAGAGGACAGACATTTCTGTCCCATGTCACTGAAGAGGAAAGTGAAGTTCAAGCATTAAGTTTTGCCCCAGGTCACACAGCCAAGCAGGCACAACGCTGGGGTAGAACCTAGTTATTTCTGACTCATAATTCTCCATTCTCTCTATGATGTCAGGCTGCCTCTTCTCCCATGAGCCTTCTTGCCAAGATTTAAATTCCAGGCCTCGCCTAAGTGTGGGGTGACTGCTCTCCGGCATCCTGCTGTTCCCTCATCTTTCCCGCTCTCTCCTCAAACTCCCAGTTTTCAGACCCAAAGAGGAGGTCCCAAGAGGGGACGGGGCGTGCCCACAGCGCCACTGGTTAGTGATGGGTTCAGGACCAGAAATCTATGGTGTGGGTTCTCATTGCCGAATGGGCGATTAGAAGACCAGTGGGACATTCCAGGACTAATGGAGCAACATGGAAGATTAAGCTCATGTTCAAATTGGCCCCTTTATCCCCAAATACAAAGTAAAGAGGAATGAAACATAAAACCACACTGACATGCTTAAAAATAGAAAAGGGACACCTGCACACACACACAATCGGAGGGGGCAGGGAAAGGGGGGGATCACAGTGGTAAAGAGACACCAAGACCATGCCATGTGGTTGCTGAGGACAGGCCCTGTCCACTCGAGCAGGACCTGTGGGCAAAATCTGCCTGGAACCCCACACGTGGTGGGAGCTGGGCCCAGGCTGCCCCCGTGAGAATGAGACTGGGGCCATGCTGCCCACTCTGAATGCCAGCCTACCTTCATATCCCCCAGGGAACAAGGAAAGATAAGATCACAGGCTTCAGGATCCCAGCAGACTGAGCGCCATGAGGGCAGGGCCGTGCGTCGCCCCGAGCAGGAGCTCAGGCACATTATCTGAACTGTCCTGTCCAGTCCTGCTGGGCCACACACCTGGGAATCACTGGTCCCACAGGCCAGCCACAGGGTGGGGCCTCTGGAGTACTGAAAGGGTAAAATGCTCCACGGGACTGCTGGTGGTCTGCTCTGCCCCCACCCAGCCCAGCCTTGGCCACCCCTGGCCAGTTCTCACTGGGCTGGGCTGCCCATGCACTGACTCACTGCTGGCAGCCTCTTCAGGAATTTTGGAAAAGGCAGAGGCTCAGGTGCCTTTTGTTGTTTCAGCTGGGCCCAGGGAGGCCCCCCTGCTCTCAGGGTAGGAGAGCGAGAGCTGGAACAGTTCTGGCAATGGGAATGGTCATGCTGAAGGGCAAGCCAGCTGTGTCCTTGCAAAGGAGCTGGGTCCAGGATGCTGCTGGGCTAGTGACCATGGCCCCCCAGCCCCCACAGCTAGCTGCCTGCATCGTGTGGTTGGGGACAGGAAAGCCCAGCTGGCTTGTCAGCTCTAGAGCGTCCTCCTACCCCACCAGCCCTCCCTGGACCTGCATTGCCCCCAAGTCCTGCCCCATCCCTGGGGCAGACCCAGAGACCCCCCACTTTTGTGCTTCATGGCTTTGGCCAGGTGGCTTAAGTCCTCACAGCTTTCTTCTTCTCTGTAAAGTAGACATAATAGTATTAGCAGCCACAGCTGACCGTCAGCCGCACCACCGCAAGGCCCAAGTGGCTCTCCTAAGGCCAGC